ATAAATTTGAAAAATATTGGGGGGGCTAATTTCAAAATTGGGGATGCTAAGCACCCCCCAAATTGCGTCTGTAAAAATTTGGTATTACGACCCTCTTATTTTATTTGATATCATATAAAAATAATTAAAGTTTAGGTTACATTTGGCGATGATGACTCGCCCCTTCACGGATTCACGTGCCTCAAGAGGTTGTAGGATAACTCGGCGAAAGAGATTACGGCGAAACTTTTTCGACGAACGGGTATATCAGCGAATGGATGTATCGGCGAACGAATATATCGCCGAAATTACATTAAACACAAATATTTAAATATACGTAACACAGAGTTTGTTTCTAATTTAATACGTCAATAAATTCCTAACCAACAACTATTCTCTATCACTTTTCCTATTTGCTTACTGTACATATTTTGCTACCCAATTTTGTACAAATTCTATTTTAATAAAAATAAATAAATAAGTTATCGGGATTTCGTGGTCACGGGTTTAATCTTTAATTGCATTTTCGATTATAATGTTGTTATTTGGTCGATAATGTCATAACGATAACTATCGTCTATCAGTTAAACTGTAATAAGCGATTGGAATGTGTTTTTAAAGTTACAATGTGTTGGTGATCAAGTTGAAATCAAACGGTCCACGTTCCATATTTAAATACTGTGTTATTTTGTTATTTTGTTACTGTATTATTTTTTATTAACTATGAGTACATTAACGATTAGGTCGAAACCAAAATTGGTGGACGAAAGTCCAGTAGTCCATATCTAAATTAAAAGTGGTACACATTGAGGCTGGCAAAGAAGCAAAACAGAAATTAAAATGGAAAAGAACCACAGAAAATATAAAAACGAAGGTGGAAAATTATTCAAACCAAGACATAATACCATATTTAAAAAGTTTGGCATACAATATTGACTTTTACATTTTTAGTATTATTTATATTTATATTATATTATAATTATTTAAGTATTATTTTTGTTATTTATTAATTATTATTATATACTTACATATGGTCCTTGGACATCTATTTTATTTAAGTTATTATTGACTAAATTATTGAATTATATAATATGGAATTTAAATTTTTAAATTTCTGGTTAGGTTTTGTGGTTTCGCCAATACATCCGTTCGCCGATATATCCATTCGCCGAAATGGATTTCGCCGAATTGGCCGGTTACCGCCTCAAGAGGGTGAAAATAGCTAAATAGGGTAGTTTTACCGTTTTCTGTACTTTACTCTATAATGGTTACAGGTATAATAAAATTATAAAACAGCCTTACTAAAGAACATATAATTTTCTATAATTAACCAAATTGCAACATTTTATCAAATCTATTGGTTTCTCTAAAAATAAAGAAAAACTAAATAATTTAATCAATTGATAAAAATATTGGATTTACAGTTTTTTAAATACATTTTATGAACGGTTGAAGGTATGAAAATAATGTTTGATGCACTAATTAAATAAAATTGAATGTTCTACAAATAATGTTATGAGTAAAAATATTATTGAATCAATAGTTTTATTGTTACAGTTAAATTTTTCAGTTGAATTATAAGAATATTATATAAATTATAATTAATAATTATAATTAATAAAATTAATATTCAAATTTTTTTTAAAAAATTCACGAGTGCAGCCAGAATATGGTTTGCAATATTCTTGAACAACCTGAAAAATATATTAAACTATTAGGCATTTTTGATTGATGATTTCACTGATTCTTTTATATTTACTTGTAAAGTAAATTGTTTCTGTTCTTCATTTTTAGATTATTTTAAATTATATTCCTCTATCAATTTAACACCTCTTTCTGCTCCATCATTAACAATTTTTAATGGCGATATAACTTCTTTAGCTTGCTTATATTCTTCTATGTCTTTCTATGTACTTGGGTCTGCTCGTAAAAATATATCAGAAATTTGAAACCGTGCAAATTGTTTCCGAGATTAGTTAATAAATCAAATGGAAGATCTTTATTTAAAAAATGAAGTCATCAAACTTTAAATTAAATTTTTTTTTCGATTCTTCATTTTCTTCTTTGCTGTCATTAATATATTGTTCTTTCCCTACTAAAATGTGGTTCGCCATACGTTGTTTTGTTTCATTATTAACACGATCGTCAAATGTAGAACACACTGCACATTCTTGTTGCAAACACCATAAATGGTTAATCAATTTTCTTCTGGTGACTTCTTCTAATTTACCATCTTAGTTCTTTAGTTTTTTTAAGAACAACAAATCATTCATGAGTGGTGTAACTGGATTTGGTGCGGTGATCCACTCTTGAATATCGCATTTAACTATGAAACAACAAATTTCATCAAGAGAGTTTTTTTCTGTTGTGGTAATTTTAAACTGATCACTTAATGCAATTTTAATCAATGGCTTTTGTGCCGAGTGATAAGCGCTTGAAATTTAATTCCACGAAGAGGTGAACCTCCTAGAAATATTTAAACCAGTCCGAGAAATTTTCTGTAGTCATCTCTCAGGAAATTATTGTTTAATCTTTATATACAAAATAATGAGTACATTATTGTAATTATTATATTTTAATTTAATGATAAATCGTTGTACACGAAAAACGATTCTAAGCGAGGGTGGTCTGTCCGACAATATATTATGTACACAGGGTGATTCGCCAAGCATACTTTTTGTAATTTTTAAATAAACTCAATGATCATATTTTCAAATTCTTGAATTTATTTGTACTACTTAAGGAGTGTCTTGTGGCGATACAATGTTCTGTTTTCAAATGAGAACCCTCCTCTTTTACTGTAAATTAATTGGTGAGTTATTTTTTGAAAATTTAGATAAACCACATTCCAAATTCGAATGAGCATAGTTTCCTAGTTATTAGAATGTTAACATTAGGAATAATAGTCCTTAAAAGTTAAAACTGGTTTTATATAAATATAAAATGTACTTAAAATTTGATCTATTATTTAAAATACTTTGGCCATGTTTACAAATTATTAATATCGATGGATTATTATAAATGACTGCAATTGTTTAAATCATCCTAGCCCTCGTGTCTTATAAATTGATTACCTTTTATCCTTACAACACAAAGTTAAATAACTTAAAAACCACTTTTACGAATTTTGATTTTGATACTTCAAACATTTCAGAAAAAATATTTACTGTATAATTTATAGTTGAATAGAGGTGTTCCCATTTGAAATATAGAAGCTTGTAGCCCCACAGGACACTCCTTAAGAAGTACAAAAATCTCAAGAATTTAAAAATTTGGTCTTCAAGTGTAATTAAAATTTAAAAAAAAAAGATTTTGAATAACTACATTATTATAATAGAGTACCTACCTTAGTGGTTGTTATAACTACGAAGTATAATATGATATTATGACATATTTATTATTCTGACAAATCCATTCATAACTGGACTATTTACAAAATACCTCTTCTACAAATGTAACTAAATTTGTTTTGTAAAAGGTCTTAATTATTTATTTATAAATAAAATAAATTCTCGCAAAGTAAATAAATTATTGAGATAAAGTAAATGTATTTTTAATTTAATTTACTTAGAATTTTTTCATGATATCGCATCTTTATAATGCTGAAGTCTTATAAACGAATTTTTTTATCTAGCAATTTTTTTACACGGAGTTGGACGAAGTATTTTTGTCGTGATTTCAGTAGTTTTTTTAGAACATATTTTTATGTACCAGCATGTAATACGATTTGCAGGTTATTCATGTTTTTATTTATTTATTATATTATTATGTTTATTCATTCAATATATTCGATTTTTTTTTTATAATCATTTTCAATTTTTTATTTGCATTATTATAATATACACATCTTTACGCCCTCTAGGACATCGTTCAAAATGTATTAAAGTGACATCACATCGTAGCCATCTATTTTCATGTAAAATTATACAAGTATAATGTGCTTCATTCGTAGATTTACCACACTAATATTTCTGTTGATACATTTAAGAATCCATTTAAAAAAAAATGGAAAATGGAATTAAATGGAAAAATTAAATGGAATTATAAAATATCCATTTAATATTTGTAGTTATAATTACAACAAATATCACGTGGTTATTTAAATATTACTCCAAATACATGTCATCACTGAATGTCGCCAGAACGAATACGATGTAAAAGACAAAAGTCCATACACACTGGAGCGGTAGCAGTAAATAAAATTGTGTCTGGACTCATTTTACCGCTACCGTTGCAGTGTGTGAGGACCTTTAGTATTTACCATTTAGTATGTTATTACGATAAATGAAGGCGCAGGCAACGGCGGAAACTGCTGCCCAGTATATGAGACGTACATGTATATATGACATAGAGGGAGTAATATTACATACAGTTTATATTAATTAATTAATTAAGTTAATTTGTATAAACATTTTAATAATTCAGAAGACAGAAATACTCGTTAGAATTTTGATTAATTGATATTCGTTAAATAATTTTCTATAAAAAAGGGGGGTGGGAACTCCTTAGCAATACAGAAGTTTGTATTGCCACAGGACACTCTTTATGTAATACAAAATATATACTCTATAAGGATACTTAAAAATTCTAAGTCAGAATTTAAATAAGTGTATTATTAAAGGAGAAATGGTGTTGAATATGCTTAAAAAAATAACCGCATTTATCTGCATTAGAATTCATAATTCATACTAGACATTTTTTTTTAGTGCTCAGTGGCAAATTGGCCCAGTACCCGAACCCCCCCATCACCCCCTCGGAAAATCCATGACACCTATTCTATTAACCGTTATGAGAGCATGAGAGAAATAAATAATACATTCGTATTATTTATATTATTCATATATCAGAAACACTTCAATTACAAAAAAAAAATGATTATCTAGAAAAATCTAAGATATTTTTTTGAAAGCTTTAAGAATTATTGAGGGCGACTTCAGTAAAATTGCTTCTACCTGGCAGTAGCCTGTCCAACTGGCCCAGTCTTAATATTATATGCAATATTTTATTTTTGGTCTACTAAATATATTTAAATAATTTTAAATTTATATTTATTAAAAATCATAAGTATAATTAGAACTTTCAGGATAAAAGATTATAAATGACATATTTTTTTCATTAGATTTGGGCAGTAGCCAAAAGTTTGAACTTTTTAATAAATTATTATAGCTGTACTCAATGGTCTTGAAGATTCTTATTCATCGAGTTCTGTTTTCTTTTTACCCGATGACACCTCGTCCGTGGTCTCCTCGCTCGACAATTCTTCACTCGATGACACCTCGTCCACGGTCTCTTCGCTCGACAACTCTTCATCAGACACCTCCTTGTCTGCTGATTCTTCGTTTGACAAATCTAATTCCAGTGAATCTTCATAATCCGATGATTCAGACGGATTTTCATTATCTGAACTAGACACGACGTCGTGTTTTTTCTGGCGTTGTTTCTTTTTGCGATTGCCTTGGTCTCCGCTATCAGTTTCAATCGTTTCGTTAGTTTCTGCAGGTTTGGTTTTATCAGCTGTTGCAGCTTTAGCGGCTTTTTCGGCTTCAGCAGCTTTTGCGGCTTCGGCAGCTTTGGCAGCTTCGGCAGCTTTGGCAGCTTCGGCAGCTTCGGCAGCTTCGAAGGCAGCTATTCTTTCCAAGTTGTCCCTTCCGTCATGCAGGACTATCGTGTTGGGGTCCAAAGACTCAAAATGTACATCATGCTCGTCAATTATGTTTGCCACCTCGTCCGGTGAGTTTCCAACCATGTGCTTTTGTGTGACTGAATGTACCTAAAGAGAAAAATCAAAAATGTTTATTCGTCTGTATTAGCTGAATATGAGTATTGAGTATTGCTCTTGCATCACTTCAGAAACGTTTTTGTGGTGGCAGATCGCTCATGTAAAAAAATGATTACTAATTGGACATTTTTGATGATCAATACTAGTTATCGTTATTACCTACCCTTTTCACTGATCGGCAATACAATTTTATGCAAAATAAATGTATCATATGACGTATTTACTATAGAGGTATTACCTATATAGTACTTACTCACAGAGCAAATTTGTTATTATTCGCGATTAGCGACAGTTTGTATTAAATTACTCTATTAATGTAGGTATTTCAAAAATAGGAAAAAATATATGATTGGTAACTATTTAAGCTTATTAAACACAGTAAACAAATAAAATACAAAAATACAAAAATGCAAACATCATTCTAAATAAATCTAAACTAATGTTTTGATAATACCTGTAATCCAAAGATAAGTATTGTACTTGTACTATTTTTAGGTGATCGGGTTATCCTAAAAATATATTAATCTATGAGATGGTAAAATAAAAATAAAACATTATACGATGTGAATAATTCTTTTGTATAGCCATGCAGTTACGGTATATGAAGAGAAATAAATTAAAATTTAAAATTTCTTTGTGTGGCTCAAAAAATATTTTTAAATTAATTCTGATGTTCAGAAAATACTTGTCTTTGTAAGTATTTATCTAAATTGTCAGGTCACTATGTATCCATTCTAGTCTATTGGTCTCTCATACGATTATTCCTTTCTAAATTACAACAATTAACAATATTAAACTGTTTTTTATACTCTCATTTTCAGCTTTTTTTCGTTTGCTTATTAAAAAATTATTTGGAAGTTACTTTTTTTACCTTAAAGTTCGAACTAGGTAAAACATTGTACCAGAAACTATGTACGAAAATGAAGAGTGGAATAAATCCATTGCTCTAAAGTGGGTTACAAAAATAATAGTATGTACATCATTGTAATACTTATACATTGTTCGATTAGTTGAGATCCAAAATACGGAGGAAAAACTACAGGCGATCACCACAATAAAGATATCCATTAATTTTTTTAAACAATAAATAAAACTTTAGTTTTTATAATTTTGTGTAATATAATATGGGTATTTTTATGAAATTAAATTGTAACAATAATTATTTCGAATTACTTCACTTGAATTTGTAACTAGAATATCGTAATTTATTTTAAATTGGTTTAATTGGATTAATTAATATAAGTACTTACGCAAAATCACTTATAAGACAAAGATGTACATAAAGTTTGATACCCAACTGAGTTGAAAATGAGAAACAATACAAATTTAAATAGATTTTTTTTATCATGTATGCCAAATAATCTGCAATCTTTAATAAATCCTTTCTAATGGTAGGTATAATATATAGGTATTAACATTAAAGAATGTTCTTTTTTCTTAAATATAATTATAACTTTGTGTAAAAATTAAATTGAATAATAATTGATTTTATTTTGATTAAAATTAATTATGTCATCCATTAAAGTCTAAAAGTGATATTAATAAACGATGCCACATTGCCACACAAAGAGACTGCAATAAAAAAAAAGCATACTATAATTACTGTCTTTAATACGGAATTAATTACTGTTATTAACATGCAAGACTCAAAGGTAAATTAAAAATCAATAGGTAGCTTAAAATCATTTAATGCGAGGCTCAGAGATTGCAAATCACAATCATGTAGGTATTGAAACAAGGAAAAGCTAACAATAAAGCCTGCAGGAAAAGGACATAATTAATTTTCTCATTTTTATCTTTTACCCAAAATGTTATCTTTTGACAAAATCATTTTCTGTACTTACAGCTTTTGTGAAATTCAAATTAAAGATTAAACTATCGAAATATTTAAATTATTTAAATGGTAGTTTACATATTTTTTAAAAGTTATATATGTAAAAATTTTAAATAATAATTTTAAAGAAAATAATGTGATATTTGTTTTATAAATTTGTGTAAATGTTTTTACTCGATCACTGGATGGTTTCTTCCCTCACCCTATTCAATTTTTTTTTTAATATAATGTAGCACATATTCTTATTATGCCTTTGGGTATAGATTGTATATTTCCTAATAAAATTATAAAAAAAAAAATGTTTTTACTCAACTTTTTCGTGTTTCTTAAGTAATTCCATTATTCGTTCATTGGGTAAGGCGTGTTTTTCGTGTGTTCCTTTTTTTGTCACAAGATGCACGTCGGCCGCGTCCATTATCTAAACAACAAAATATATTGGATTTATCTTCATGTTTAATTGACTTGAAAAATTCTAACCTTTCCTAAATAGTCAAAGCCCTCGTCTTCCAACAGTTGTCTGGCATCGTTCTTGGACATTCCAGGCAAATAAACCGACCATTGGTTAATGAAATGACCATTTTTTAATATATTTGGATGAACGCAATCCTTATCTTCATAGTTACTGCACGCATCTTCACCAAATGAAATGTTCGTTGAAAATATGAAACTCACTAAGATTATAAATAGTGACTTAGCCATTATAATCTGTAAAAAACGACATGCACGAGTGCCTCGATCAAGTATAAATATCATAAATTATTGATATTTATAAAGTAACTCTTTAAACATAACATAAAAAAAAAATTACGATCTCATTGTTTTGTAACAATTTTATTAGACTTGAGGTATTACGGACTTACCTACTTTAAATTTGATGCTATCAATTTATATTAAACAATTCGAATGGAAATTAAACGACAAGTCGTGCACACTATATTGATATATATAATATGCATTTAATTAGATATGTGTATTTTATTAATTTAGGCACGGTATTGAATGACTCTAGAAATAATTGAAGCAATTGGACAGGTGTCCTATTATTATATTTTATGGTTATTGTATAGAGTATGTAATGTATTTGTAAAAGTTACAACTCTAACAGAATAGAATACCTATATTTTAATTAGTTTAAAACACGTCAATTTCCAATTTCAATGTATTGTTTATTTTATACGAAGACAGATGTAGGTAGGTACCTACCTACTTTTACAAGTTACAACACTACAACATAAAATTAGGTAATATTTATTAAGTTGAATATCATGAAGCAGGTACCTACCTACCGAATAGACACTATTGTACAGATACCTGACAAATTTTGTAGAAATAATAATACAATATTTCTAAACTTTCAATATATTATATAATATGAATACAGAATAAGCCTTTTATAGGAATAAATGATTGACACTTGACATATTATATAAATTAGTCATTGTTCATTAGATAAAAGTTCGTTTAAAATTTTACTGTGCGATATAATTCTATACGATTCTACTGGGATTTAAATTCAACCTTATCAAGTATCAACTCCCATTCACAAACGTCAGCAGTGGATGCTTATACTACCTACTATTATTTTAATAAATCTTATATACCTTCCATAATTCACCAGTATAATTTCTGAAATTTTTACATTCGAATTAAAAAATATTTAAATACCTTCGTTATATTTTTGTTTATGTACAGATGATTGTAATGCCTATTATTATTGTTATTTACCTATAGATTAGCTATATGCTCTACTGCACTTGAACATTGTAATTAATTCATTAATAATGCATGATTTTAATGTCAATTATAGAACAAAAAAATTGATTGACATTTGAAAAAATAATAAGTGCATAATACTATAATTGTTCTTTAAGCAAAAATTATCATCAAAAAGCAAAAATATTAAACCTTGTACGCCAATTGATGCTATTATTTGATTAATTCTCCCAAGAGATACCAACATAATACTCGTAATTTACACCTATCAGCAAATAAACGATAATTTAAAATGGATAAAAACTACAAATATTAACTAACTATGCCATAACTATAATAAATTAGAATAATATAGAGCTGCTAATTAGTATAAGCTAAATTGGAAATTAATTATAATAAAAGACTAATAAAAAACTAATTCCCCTACTCTGCAAACTGTTAATTTAACTAAAAATAAAAATTTTTATTTCTATAAATTAATTTCTATCTTACGGTTACGACAAAAGAAGAAAAATTTTTTAGGTACACCAAAAAAGTCGTAGCAGCCATTATGGAATTTGAACTAAAGATAGGTTACTCATCATCTCCAAAAAGTGAATTATTAATTATAGCCGTGAGCAGTTAACAAAATAATAGAAGCTCTAGATTAGTCTAGAATTTTTTGAAAGTATAACTGTACTCTTTTTTTCCTATATTTGCTTACCACCTATATCTACGTCCAACCAATATTATGCTTGACTTCGACAGCTATATTAACTTATTACTCAATTACCTACTTATAAAGTACATTGCTATACATTGATTCTATGCAAATTCTTTATTATTTGTATATTTTGAAATATGCAATTTTTTTTAAACGATATATTATGACATAATTTAATTTTCAAAATCAATTTCCCTATATTTTTTTGAATAGTAGGTCACAATCTAAGTAAAACGCACAAGCCCCCCATTCCTTTAGTATGTCCCTGCAGTGTGACATATATCTGTAATCGGTGTCAAGACCAGGATCATAACATTTCACAGATTTTAAATATTGCCTTATTAATGAATGATGGTCATAACTCATAACCATCTACCTGTAAATACAATATAATTGAATTAAATTAAATGAAAATATGTAAGTATTACAAATTAAAAAACAAAAAAAAAAAAACGCTGAAGTCACGTATATTATGTGTCAAATGTATCAAGTCATTGAGATTTGAGCATGTCACGCATAGATACCCAATGGTTATATAGTTACAAGATGGATAAAATATTTTCGGAAAACGATCTGAGAGGGGAAGGTCCGTCAGGCTAAGTAATTTCTGGAGATAATTATTGTATATTTAAAAATACTGCTAAACGTTATCCTACGGGAAGTTGACTAACAGTGTAAAGAAAATGATAATTTCAGTGTACTACTGTAATAATTTAGCAAGTTCCTATGATTAATATTATTAATAATTTTTGAATATCAAAAACAAAAAACGTGCAATAAAGGATACCTACATTGTTCCTATTCTTAATTTTCCTGTGAACATTTTTCAATCTACTTTATTGTATTATATCTATAAAAAAACATTGCAAAATCAATAACTAAATTGTTTTAATGAAACACAGAAAAATATATGTGTCTTACTTAAATTGTACTATAAACACAGCTAAGCAAGGTAAGTAAGAATATCATTTTAAATTATAAGTCTATTATAACTAAAAATTTTTTTTAAAAAGTGAGTAAGGAGATGTCGCACTACTGTACAGTAGGTTTACAAGTCGGTCACAGTCATGGATGATTTTAAATTTGAATTCAATGTTATAAAATCATTGTAAGCAAAAAATGGCTGAGCGAAGACGGTCTGTCAGTGGTCAGTCTATAATAATATCACCTAGTAATTTAGTATTTTTGATTATATTATTGTGATTAAACCGCAAAATTCAATAAAAAGTAATATTTAACACCAAATATCACTCTACAAGTGTCAATATATGAAAAAAGTGAACAAATTCGGTTTTTTTTTGTGTCAACGAACAGTTCGTCGTTCACATGAAAATATAAACACGGTGTGGATTGTCAAAATTCAATCTTTCTGCTTTAAACTCAAACACATTCGAAAACACTTTTCTATCGTTAAACAAGTTAAAATTTATTTAACAGTGATTTTTTCTGCCAAAATATAGCTTAATGATGCTGTGAACTATATAGAACAGATTTGAAGTTGATTTGGAAACACTTAAAGTAATTTATCTTCCTAGTAAGCATTAGTACTACTCAGTTGATTAAATTCATTATTACCGAAAAAAATACACGTGAAAAGTTGTTGTGTATATAATATATAATATCTAAAATACTTTACAAGTTTCAAATACCATGAATAATATTTTTATAATTTACAACAAAATAACATAAATCATTATTCTTGGGTTTTTTAATAATATGTAATTTGGTCCACATTTGAACATAAAAAAAACTGTGTTTGTATATTTTTAGATTAAATAAATTTTCTACAATAAAATTATTGTACATTTTGAATAATATGAATTTAAACTTTAAATGCTTATAAAAAAAAATCGAACATAATAATATGTATTTTTAATATTTTTCAACTAATATTGTAAATATATATCAGGAACCTTGTGTTCAATTTTCAAGCTTTTTGACGGAAAAAATAACATTTTATTGATATTTATAGAAAAAAAACGAAAATAGTTGAAAATTTAAAATGTCCGTAAACGGCTCAAAATGAGTCAAAATATTTTGAATATTTAAAAAAAAAAGATTTTGAGTAAATTACAAATATCTACAGTCATTTGTTTTTGAATTACAACAAAATAAGAAAATCGGTATATATGAGAAATAGAGTGAATATTTAATGTTGTAAAAATTTCAATTTCAAGCGTTCATAAAAATTTCATTTTACTTTTTGAAAGAATTTTTTTTTGATGAGGGTAGACAAACTAGTAAGAAATCTTGTTTTAAATTTTGGAATCTAAGATAATAAAAAATTTTTTTATGAATTTCTAACTTTCATAAAAAATTATTAGGATTTACTTTCAGATTTAATTTTAATTTCCACTGACAACAGCTTTGAATCTTGCATTACATTTTCAAGTTTTTTGAAAGAGCGAAAATTTTTTTATTGATATTAGTTCAAAAAACAAATAATTATCAAAAATTGCATTGCCTATAAAATAGTTTAACATGTGTCAAAATATTTTTAACATTTTATGGCTTATAGAAAATGCTAACTCAAACATTCAATGAAAATGTCATGTATTTATGGTCATTAGAGTTACAATAAAAAACAAAACCGATTTTTACAAAAACTAGTTTTGCGTGAAAATTAAAATTGTTCCTTAATTATTTGTTTGTTTTTCCTGTCGCTTTTGAAAACCATTGGGAATTTTTAATTTTAACCTCCCGAATGTATCAACTAGAATCTAGTTACTATATTCACTTTATTACAAGATAAGTTGCTGTTGAAGAAAATCGAAGCTCTTTGGGGCATTGCTCTGCTCAGAATTTAATAACCTAAAAGTATCCTAAAAATACTAACTGAATTATTTGATACAATTCCAGACGTTAAATTGTTAAACATGGAATTTGTCTTTAAATGTAGGAAATGTACCTATTGAATTATAATTATAGATTATAATTACCTACGTGAATTGAGAATATAAGTCATACTATTCAAATTATTTTAAAGATTGTGTAGTGTACGAATTCCACCTTTCCCAAGGGATTGGAAGAACAATTAATAATGTCAGTGAAAAGTGATAAATAACTATCGGTACAATAAGTTATAACTAATATTTAATTTTATTAATTTGATGTACATTTATAGATGGTATTAAAAGTTGAATCACTTGAATAATTTGAGGAACCAAATATTTGGGTATTAAAAGGTCTTCAGAAGAGCAATGTTATTGCAACTATAGCATTTATTCAATCAGAATCCTTTTTTTTAAGACACTGGGCAAGACAATACTTATCGTAAATAATAAACTTAAATCTCTATTCGATGACTTTGAAGCAAATATTTCAGAAAAAACATATTAAAGTTTTTGAAACAAATTAGCTTAGTAGTTTAATTTAGATTCATAAATAATATTAATTAATAATAAATAGTATTTTTAACTTTAATTTTAATAATAATATAATAAATAGTAATAAATTTGGTTTTTAACAGTTCATAATTAGGGTGCAAATGTTGTTGAATTTACAACTTTCTTTCTATTGCCCCTACTTATTGTTAAGTAAATTTTAAATGTGTTGCATGTAAGTACAAATGAAAATCTAAAATTTTTAAATGAAATTCTTTCATTTTGATGACTTCTCGTTCTTAAAGAAATTTTAGCTAATTTTTCAATTTTTTCACGTAGTTTCACTTTTATAATACTTTTTAAACAGTTTCATAACATCTATAAAGTTATCAAATAGCTTTTAGTCTGAAGTATATTGTTTAAATAATTTATTGTGTATTGATATTATTATATATACATAATTATTAATTATTTTTAAAATTGTATCGGTCGTGCCCTACTTTATAGTTTAATGTAATAGATTTTTTTAGTGCAATACTGCAATCAATTTTTCTACTTTTTGAACTGCTACAACTTCAAGTTCCCCATTTATAATATTTATGTTTTAACTTTTTCATGGGGAAGGGGAGGAAATGTTAATAATAAAAATTGATTCACTATTTCAATAATAACACATAGATACAAGATACACCACTGATACACAAATAAGTCAGCAGTCTGTTAGTAGCATGCCAATACCCAAAATTATAATCAGTGTTACTATAAGCAACTTTTAATCCATGTTTACTTATTTATAAAAGTAGTAGTGTAAATTCATTCACCTATGTTTTCAAGTGAAAACTTCTTATTTATAGAAAGTATAAGATTTAGTTTAAAACGAAAATGATTGAATTAAAAAATAAGGATTTTTATTAAAATACCATTTTATAATATTAAAAAATATTAACAAAATTTAAATTCTGCGCCTTAATGAAAAGTTCAAATATATAATAGGAGTTTTAATATTTTATAAATTTTTGAATTTATTTGCAACACTATCAGTTATTTCATTTTTTTTTAGCATATTCATGTAAGTATCTAATTCATCTTCTTCATCATCACTTTCTATAGGGTCCTCTACATCACTGTCATCTTTTAGAACAGGTATTTCTTCAATAGGACTTTCTGAATCAAAGTATTTGTCTTCTTCATCGATGGACTTTATGTGCAAGTTATCATATTCTGGATTATTATCCACATTGCTGTACAAAAAAAAAAAAAATTATAAATCAAACATTTATACAATATAGATACTTCTTTAAATACATACTTGTAATCATAATCTTCTTCGCCACTAAGGAATTTGTGAATCATATGAGATTTAAATTCATTTAATAAAAGAAGTTTTTCTTTTTCATTTAGTTCTTTATTATTACACTGTTCTAGATTGGGGAAATGATCTTCTCTCCATCGACGTTTGCCAATTTTTACTGTTTCAATTTTTGGTTTACTATACTCGCCCCAAAAAGCTGAAGGTTTATGAACTTCCATAGCCGTTGATGGTTTATTTGACTTATCATTATGACAATGATCATCATTATCACTATCATCACTATCATTATTATTGTCTTTTTCATCATCTACTTCATGAATTTCTTCTATCTGTTGTTTCCGTTTTAAATAATCTCTATTATCACGATCAATTTGTTCTAATAAGACTTCAGTCAACCTTCAAAAAATATATTATATAAATACTGTACATATATAAATAAATGTAAAGTGTTTTTGTTATAATTACGAATTTTGAGCTAAATATTGATTATCGTAGTTAAATTTTTCTTCTTCAGATAGATATTGACCAACCAATTGCTCCCAAAGTAAAGGTTCCCTGTTCCGCATTTCATTATCACTAAAGTAATCGCCTTTAAGGAGTTCAAGCATAGCTTGATAACGTCGATTTTTACTAATAACCTAAAATATAACGTAAGTAAATATATAATTGTAAGTTAATTAAATCAATAATAATAGTTAAAATTGTCTATAAAGTATGGTATGCCATATTATACTTTTTTAGAATTTATTAATCGGCTTAATCTGTGTAGATGAAAATGTATTTCATAATTTCCAGACTTAAAGTATTCTAAGTGATCTTCTATTAAATATTCACCAAAGATGTATAAAAACTTTGAGTGACTATCATTTAAAATATCCTCAGCTATTTTTTGTCTTTCTTCAATTGAAAATTCTGATTGGTCCTTCTTTTGGCTTTTAAAGTCACTGTTTAAAGCTTTTAAAACAATATGATCAATTATTTGCTGTCGCAGTGTTTTAGAGTTTTCATCAATTGTTTGGACTCCTAATTGGAGGTCTTCCATCATCTAAATAATAAAAAAAACAATTAATAAATAATTATTATAGAATATAAATAATCTTAAATACAATTTATAAATAACTTTTTCGAATTAAAAACAAAATTTCAGGCATAACAAATGATATAACAGATCTAAAATATCCCAAAAAGAAGTATACCAATCTTCAAAATTAGTACAGTAAACATAAACATCATCATTCATGAAAGAATATAATATTCTAATTATTATATATCGGAATATGGTCAAGTAAAAATATACTTTGTAATACTTTAAGCAATTTTATAACATACTATTTTATCTGATATTCTTAATTCTTAATTAAAAACCCAATGATATAGGTATTGTATTAACTTACCATCGTGTCCATCATTGATGCATTTTGTTAATTACTCGGTTTAAATATAATTGAAATACCTATATCAAATAATAATAATTAGAAAAATTATATCAACTGATTAATTAACTGCATATGAGAAAAGTATTTATATTTTATAATAACAGTTTTAGCTTTTTGAATGAACGTGTAAATATTGTACAATATGAATATTGAGTATTATGTATTTTTTTTATGGTATTGAGTATTAGACACGATAATAATTGTTATCATAATGATAACGAATAAAGGTGTTATCATTTTATCACTAATCTCAAATTTGAAATTTGAAAATAGAAATTCATAATCCTATAAACGTAGTCCAAAAAAATTAAATAACTATTTGGTGTTCTGTGAACTGTAGAGATATGTACCATAGAGTAATATTACTTTATGGTATGTACTTAACAATGTTTATATTTAAATAATTTTTTTTTAATTTTAAAAGAGTCCGGTTACTTTAACGTCTTTAACTATCAACCCACGTAAAGTATAGTTTCGAAATAAATCGAGGAATTTAATAGTATTTATTTTAATAATTATAACGATTTCGGATTTTTTGATGTATGTCCATTAGAGAAAAACTTGTCCTTATTGAATCCTATGGGTAGGTACTCCAATAGTCATTTTGACATATTATTTTAAATTTTAATACTTGGTCTTCGATTGCTTGAAAAAATACTATTAAATATTGTCAGGCTCGCATGAAATGCATGTCGCTTGTATTCATGTGTGAACAATTTTTCTGAGTGAGACTGTAAACCGTAAAGATTGTTCAAAAAGTTTCGTGTTAGTACGAAAAACCTATCAATTAAAGATCGGATATCGAGTTTATTTGAGGAATCGAGTGTACTCATATGACGGTGGCAATTAAATATAATATTATATTGATTGATATTTGTTGTGATCTACGAAAATATTGTAAAATACCGCCTGGGTTTGACGGAGTTTGGCTAGTTGGTGTTGCTGAACACTATACACGGGGAAAGTATTTGTTTGAGAGAGAGAGAAGTGGAGGGTGTAAAAACAAATAACAAAACGATACAATCAGTGTATTAAGACGGCGCGGCGTCGATTTTGTACCTATTACGTCATAGTCGTCGGTTCGTATATTATCATAATATTATGGTATCGTACCAGAGTGTTGCCATGGCACCAGGTTTGAGTTGTATTTTGATAACGCGTTTACATTGTGTTGTGTACGGTGTACTTGTGTACATTTTAATAAGGTCCGGGCAAATTGTTACGAACAAAGGAAATCAGTTTTTGTTTGTTTTTTAATTGTACAATACCTTTGTTTGGCGTCTCTACGTCGTTTTGCCGTCACGCAGATCCGCCGTTAATCATTCCACGCCAAGGTCGAGACAGTTTTAAATTTGTTATCGTAGTTTCTTCTGAGAACATTAACTTTACACTTTACAGCATCGGTAAGCTCATTAAAATGGTTATTTATACCAACTCCAGAAAGTACTTTTGTGAAACACATGCACCGTTATTTACCTTTAATAAATAAGTACTTACAGAACAGCCAAAACATGTATTAGTTAACAATGTAGGATAATCATAAAAAATCGATTGGGTAGTATATTATTAAAAAAGAAACAAATGTAAATAAATTTCTTTTAAACATGGATTCCCAAAAGTGAACTCAAAATATATTCTTTGCAGTGGCGTTAAAGTCCATACTAACGTTGGGCAATGGCTCAACCTCTTTTTTTTAAAAATGTGGCCAATCGGCTACACTTGATTTACATCATAAATTTATTATGAGCATGAGTATATTAAATCCATGTCACCATGATTATGAGTAAATATATATTATTGCAGGCACTTCTATATTAAATAATTAATATATTGAGGCCATGAAGTTTTGAAATTGCCCCACCATATTTTAAAAACTTTGGCGCCACCGATTCTTTGTATCTGGTATATTTATTTATTCATTGCTTGCTGACTAACTTTATACATACTTATATTATAAGATGTCCTACAGTGTTTTGTATATTTTATATTTAAGCAATAAGTGGTTATAATGTTAGTTATGTTGTGAATGGAATGGACAGATTGGAGAATCATACTGTTAGATGGACTATGAAATTGAAGAAATTGAGATGATTTTTGCTGACAAATTAAATATGATAAATTAATAATGCATTGTACTTCTAAATTTTAAGGTCCACTGATGTAAAACATTTCAATTGAATATAATTTAATTTGAATAAATATGTACAATTCCACATTTTATTGAATAAATTAATTGTATATTAATGAAAACATGCAAATAGAACAACTCACAATCTGTTAATGAAATATTTAAAATATATTATGTGAAGATGCATTTATATTGTTTTCCTTTTGCACCTAGTTATCACCTATTAATGATTCTTAATTATATATTTTTTCTTAATTTAGTGTGAGTGATGTTGCATTTACCTAATAAAATATTTTACTACTTAGGTAGGTTCATATCAATACAATTAATCTAATTCCTTCATTAAGTTGTTATAATTATTACATTTAAACTTCAATCATTTTCTAAAACCTCTGAATTACTTTTAATAATTGTTTATTCATAAACAAGGTAAAAATACCTTTATTTTTTTTTTTTGTAGGATTATAGATACCTGTTTTGACATATTTAAAATCAAAATTAATTTTTTTTTACAATTATTGAGTAATTTTTACTATTTATTTTTGGTTATTTTTTAGGTAGTATTATTGTTTATTATAAAAATGGTATTGATTCATGTTAAGTATGGTGACGATAGTCAATTTTTGTATGAAGCTTCGTTGGAAACTCCTGTTGATGAATGCACATTGAATATTACTTCAATCTATAATGGCCGTTTGAAAATTTCCAGAATCTGTAGTGGTAATTATCAACTTATAATGGAGAAAATTGTTGTTGCTTATTTAATTTCATTATCATTACTATTGTTAATAACTTGTTTGTTTGTTGTTTTTTCTTTAGAAATGGAAGAACTTAAAAAACATGGTACATTGTTGCCACCTGAGATAATGGGATTGACTGATGAACAAGTTGTTGAACTTAAATTGATTGATAAATGGGGCGAAACATGTATACCGAGTGGTGGTTACTCATTCAACAAAGACCCAGTTGGACGCCGAAATGGAAAACAACCTAATGAAAAAATGCAAAATGTGTTGACTAAAACAATTGAAGAGGCGAAAGCTTGTGTGTCAAAAGTAAATTTTATCATCATACAATTTTTTAAATACTTACCTATTTTTCTAAATTATACATTTTATATAGAAATTGGTTCAGTCTCAAATTTCATTAACTCAAAAAAAAGTTCAAGAAGCTCTTGATATACTTAGAGGTGCTATTATGATTGTTTATCCTATGAATTTACCACCACACGATACCATAAGACTTGAGATTGAAAACAATGAAGATCTTACTGGAACTCATGCTTCATTAGAGGTTAGAATACATTTTTACTCTTAATTACATTACTGTAATATTAGTTTTTGAATTTTAGTGAGTATTATATTGATTGATTTCAATTAGCTCAAATATTATTTCAATAAGTAATAATTTTATTGAATTTCCTACTTAGGTGATCGCACCAAATGTAGCTCAACTTTGGTTTTCTGGTCGTGAGTTAGTACGAGAACCAAATAAAAAAATGAAGGACTATTTAGGACGCAATGAAAAGACAAAAGTTGTATTGAAGCTTACTAAGACTGGTTCCGGACCACCAGCTCGTGAACCACCGTTAAGTGAACAAGACCGCAAATTGTTAATGGCTGAAGCTTTTAAAAAACAAGAAGAATTAAAGGTAAGTTAGTTTACTAACTTAGTTTCTGTACACATTGTAATTGTATATAGTTTTTTTTGTAATGGTAAAAAAAATTGAAGATTTTATTATTATGTAAGATAGAGCGGATTAAACTGAGTATATAATATACTTATAGGTATCTATATCCATGAATATTATTTATTTTAAAGTTGTTTATTTATAGTTTATACTTCAAATTGAAGTGCTTATTATATACAATGAATTTTTATAGTGTTGTTGATCAAAGTGTGTATTTGTATTAAATGGTAGTAATTATTTTTATGTTAAGTGATTATTTCAAAATTTTAATGATGAGTGATGTTACTCTTTTATTTAAATTTTTAAAATGGAGTATTCCAGACTCCAGTTTGACTTATTAATTATTACATATATACCACTATGTTATAATAAAATATATTGTATTTTGTATGTACATATAACTTTAAATCCATCTCATTCAATGATTATTTATAATAAATTGACCTCTGTAATTTTCTCATTTTCAATCCAACCAATTTCTATTAAAATACATTATAAAGCATGTATAATACTATTAATTACAGAAGTTAAGTTTAGTGATGAATACTTAAATTTAATTTCAATCAATTTTTATTTTATTGATTATTTGATTCTACTTTTTTAGTGTTCACAGTATAAAGTTAAGAAAAATATTCATTGTTCATAAATAATAATATATTAAATAAGATTAGGTTAATAAAATACAATAAGGTTTTTATAATATAAAGATCTGATACCATGTATTATTTATATAAATCAAAGACATTTATATCTGAAAACATAATTATATGTATAAATGGTAATTTATTATTTTTTGATATTATTATAAAATATGTAATGAATATGTTTGAATTCAGCAAAATATTAATTTGATAAACAGTCAAGGGAAGTTAAATTTATTGAAAAATAGTATCCACTTTTGTGTAAAAAATTAATATTATCGTTGGTAATACTACGATACATGTTATAGCATTTGCCCACTATGCTATAATATTATGGTAATATGAGAACCTTTATGAGAATATCTCTTTTTTATATTCAATTCTAAACAGATCACTGACTGCATAAGTAAATTGAACACTTGCAATATAGTTTATAATTAATTATTTTTATTGTTACATAATGGATGATTATCTAATATAAACATGTATTAATATTATATTGAATATAACTTCAAAATCTCAAGTACATTTTTGCATTTATGTTAAGAAAACATTAAATAGTCCTTAAAAAACTATTGAAAACTGATATTTATTTCTCATTTTTTTTCAAATTGTATTTCACTAGCCAGGCCTGGATATGTCTGACGAGTTATCGAGTTAAACTCAGTGGGACGGTAAAATGTGGGCCAGCTTAGGAATATATGACCG